TCTTTTTATAAACACATGTATTTTTTCCTGAATAATGAATAGGTGATCAGACAGAGCTTTGAGAACAACTTTACAAAGGACACCACCTACCCGCATACAATGGTATAAAATGTATATATTTCATAATATATTGGCTATAGAAGATTTGCTAAATATAACTCTTAGGAAGTAAATAATTTTTCTGGTATTTATTTTAACTATTCAAATCTTAAAACTCAATAGAAGAAGTTAGTATTGTAAAAGTCTTGTGAGCCCCGGAAAGTAAACACCCTGCTTAGTTTATCTTCAGTCTGTTCGTTGAACCAGGGGATTAGATACAGATACAGCAAATTATTAAACTGTGTCATTAATGCAGCAATAAAGAAGGATGTAGGAAATGGAGCCTCTATATCCAGTGGCTGTTCTAATTGTAGTAGGTGGGCTTTGTGATAGTTTTTTTTTTTTATTCTTTTTTTTTCCTTTTTCATGAACAAATGAATAAAAAATAAAAAAAAAAGTAGTACAGTAGTTCATAAATAAATAAATATATGGAGAGAGCCAGAGGACCAGAGAGCCACTTTTGGCTCTTGGGTTGCCGTTTTCCAGCCCTTGATTTAACAGATAAAAGCTGTGATCCTATTTCAACATCTCTAAAAGTACAAAAGAATATTTATTTTAAATCACTGTTAAAGTAAAATTATGAAGGTAAAAAAAATGTACTAGTTCAGCCGACCAATCAGCTACAGTTTCTATACCAGTTTATTTCATCAAATAAAATTGATTATTAAGTCTTCAGTACAGGAGCACTGGCCCCGGTAGGCCCTCTCTAGAAAGGCCCATGTGGATATTTCCTATCATAGGTACTTTAGCGTTGGGGGGCTTACGAGGTCCCACACTGGCACTTAGCAGCTGCTATAACGAATCCCACAATCCTTTGCGTGACAGGATGTAAAGGCAAAGCCCATCTCAAAGAATGAACCAGAATATCCAAGGGCTGTATTTGTGTAACATGTGTATTTGTAGTTTTTTTTTTTTTTAGAAGGCTATAGCCCTTATTTCACTTGCATCATCCATGTGCATTTCAGTCACCTAACAAAGTCTAAAAGGCAAAAAAGCTGACTGGATTTCGGCAAAGCCGTCCATATTGTTTTTTCCTCTTTGAGTTGACCCCAAAAAAGTTGAAGAAACAGGAACTTGGAACAGAACCAAGGAGCTACAATTTGCTGTGTTTGGATCGAGCTCTCTGTAAAGATTGTTTTTTTTTTTACCTTCTGTACTTAGACTGTCCACCTCTGAATACAAAATGTTAACTTGTTTTCCACAGCTGTACTTTAACTATAAAAAAAATATGAGAACAGGAACATCTGCTGTTGAAAATGAAAAGATGTGATATCTTTGTTGTGTCCGCCCTTCTATTTCCTATATTTATACCTTCAATACAAGCAAAAGAATAAATCTCAGTACCTTTTGATGCATACTTAAGAGAACGCAAGTGTTGTTTAACCTGAGGAGGTGTAACTGATGCTTTGGGCACATGCAGGACAGTGAAAAGAAAGCAAAATGTACAATAGCTCTACAATTTCTCTGTGGTGCTTCTAATTAGTCATTCAGGGTTTGGATACTTTTGCTACGAATGAAACATTTTATATTTAGCACTTCAGAAATGTTCTGATGAGCAACCTGCACTTAAGTGAGAACTTTTAGAGTTGGGCTAGCTTTGTTTGGCATTTCTAATTAGTAGTGTGCTTCCAGCATCTACAACCAAACCTGACCTTAACCTATAAAATCAGCTGCATTTAAAGTTCAAAGCATTTATATTTTGCCAGTTTGAGTGGAGGACAAACAGTTCTGTCTGTGGTCTGACTTCAACGTCTAATTGTTTCCCAGCAGTGAAACTATGAATCCCCATTAAACAAACCTTTCCTAACAACAACAACAAACAGCAGAAACTATCATACTAAGGATTTTGAAAAAACTTAAAAGTGTTCTGCTTTTCTTAGCATGTTTGGGTCACACATTAGTGAAGTAGAGTAGTAGCACCCATCTTCTAAAATATATTCATAGGCGAGTTGTGCAGATTAATACCCCATTTACAGTAGCCTTTTGCAGAGAATGGTCCAAGCACGGTAACCAAGATAAGATTAGATTAGATGTGAGCGTGCCAGACACAACCAAACTGCGCTAAATCTAGTAATAGTTCAGCGGCACGGTTCAGTTGTGAGTCGGTTCTCTTATATCAAAGAGCGCATCAGCAGACCGAATCATCTCCTATTCAGCTGACTCATTTTGTGTTTTTTCCACTGTGTCCTGCTTTGCAATTCACAGATTTCTTCCCCTACTCACAACACAAACTTCATCTCAGCCTATAAACAATAAATGGGATCAAAAGAACGTGGTGTGACCTGGGATGATGCAGAGACCTTTATTCAAATTTGGGCAGGGCACATAAGTTTGAATGTTATGGGCGCCGCCATTTTTCTTTGTCTAATTTCCGCCTTGTGAGCCGTAGTATTGTGGACCACCGATATGAAGCAAGGAACAATGCTAGTGTGATGTATAAATGGTCGTAAGAACCAAGCTTGGCACGGTTAACTGATGGAAGCTTGGTCCGAACTCGGCACGGAGAGGGCTAGTGTAAATGGGGCAATAATGTTAGTTTCTTGTCTGTTTAAAGGATTCCTTTTGACCACATTGCTTTATAATTTCAGTGTTTAAAATGACAGAGAAACTGAACGTGATATTTGGAAAACATTATCTTTAACATCTTCTCTATGGTTAGCAGGGAAATATTTAGGGGGTTGGATGGACTCTAGCTGCCTTTCATGTACAGTTTCTCTTTCCAAAGACGCTGGAAAAATCTGTATCAGTGATTAAAAAAAAAGCAGGAGCTGGAAAATAAAATTAGATTATTATGAATATTATTATCGAAACTATCAACATTAGTGTTACAGTCTCTATTCCTCCACCATAAGTAGGGATGTCCCGATATAACATTTTAATTTCTGATACCATACAGATATTGCATCTTGGAGTGTTGATTGACAGCAAAATATTGACACGATATATCAGCACGAATCATACATACTTTAATTATTCATTTTGTAATTTGGGTTGTTAGAAAAGTTTCCATAAAGAACATGAGTCAACAATAATAGTTATGAGAACAGCTTACCCAACGATTATTAAAGCATTGGTAACAAAAACTTTAAACAGAGTTGGATAAAAGAGGAGAGTTGCTATCAGCTTTCTGATATCTGATATTTTAGATGCATGCAAATATTTTCTGATTTTATTTTACTTGCTATTTTCAGATCGATTTCTGAAACTGAATGTCATTAGGACTTCCCTAATCCAAGGCAGCCCTAATATAGAGCAGACGTTACCAAACATTTGGGAAAATAGTAATTCAGGCTAGCAAGCTCTTAAACAGAATTTTTTCACTATATATTCATTTATGAATAAAGGAACAATTACACTCCTTTTGAAATTTATATTATTGACATGAAATGCTCTAATTCATCATTTAAAATAAAAAAATATTATTTATTGGGACATGTATTCATTAAATTGTTCATTTTATTATCAATGGCACATTTTATATTCATGTATTATAATTATCTTTTTCCTAAAACAATAAAGAAATTAATAAATTATACATGTATTTATTTTCTGGTATAGTTATCTATCTGATAGGATATATTTACATTAATTTATGTAAAAATGTATTTTGGCCCCTCACATAGCTGAAACACCAAGTGATTCCACCACTTGGAGCTTCTTGACCCTCTGGGGGATCCAGACCCCCATTTTGGGAAACATTAATCTAGACCAAAGGAAGATTTCCAGGTTAGAGCAGTCTAGCTCATTTTACAGGTTCTTTTTACACTTTTTACAAATATTTCAATCTAAAAGTGCTTTATATTTGTTTGCTTTTGGTTTTCCTGTGTTGCTGTTAAGATTTTTTTTTAGCATTTTTTGAATTACTTCATATTATGCGCTCACGCCGAACACGCTTTGGACAAAAAAGCATACAATGTACATGCAAAGTATATTGGGGATGGCATTGAGAAGTCCAGCGGCGCATCCGAACATCTGGAGCAATACATCCGAGCATTCTGGTGTCTCAGCATCTGAGCGTTTGACGCTGGAGTTCAGAATTTTAACTTTTGTCGCTGGACGCTGAAGCGTCCCTCATAGACTTTGCATGTAAATTAGATGTTTTGATGCCAGAAAAAGTCAGTGACAGGCAGGATTCTCAGATTTTGAACTCGCACCATGCAAGAAACTTACAAATCTCAAATTGTTTCACTTATCTGTGTTCAGCAGATAAACATAAGTAAGCCCTTAACCAAATTAAGTCATCCAACTGAGTTTGATTTGTGTTAGGATTGATCGATGCAGGTTGTCTCTAAGGTGCCAATCCTGATTATATGATATCATTTAAGCCAGAAGTGTGATTTTTCTGGAACCAATTTTGCTTTTCCTTCCTTCTTTTATATGATTAAAAGACAGAATGGTAATAAATGTTAAGAACGCTAAATTTAAGAAAAAATATGTTATCAGCATATCAAAAAAACAAAACAGAAAACAACACAGGGAGCGGCAAATCATGCGCTTCTCAAGCCGTGACTGCAGAATTAACTAATAGATCAGGGAAACTCAATCACATATTGGCTGCTACAGATAGAACATGCTAATATCAGCCAAAAATATTGGTCAGCAGATGAATTGGTCTTGTAAGGATCAATTAGAGATGCATTTAATTGGAATCTATCTTGATGCAAAATAGATAACAACTTGACAAAATTAGTTTCATCAGGAGAGTCAAAGCATAAACATAACTGGAGATGGGAATTATCTTTTAATCTCTAGACTTAATTTAGCTCTTAATTATTCTATATTCTTTATTATTGTGCAAATATATTAGAACACAATTGTTCTGAATGTGTCTCCTTGTGTTTTACATGGAAATATTAGTGCTTTTAAAGACAAGTTGAGAGTCATCACATATGAAAACTTACCAGCCTGCTCCTCGAGAGTCACACAACTGTTTCGGTCAACAGCCAGTGTCCAAGGCGGAGTACAATGACAGTAGTATGAACCCACTGTGTTCACACAAAAACCATTCTTACAGTTTTCGGGGTTGTCACATTCATTGACATCTGCACAATAAAAGCAGCAGAGTTTAGGATAATGCACAGAAACAGCTGGAATAAAAGGCAGTTTGAGGCAGGAGAAAGAAAAGATGACTAACCTGTTACTGTTGGCATCACACACCTCTTGCTGTTGGAATCTGGGATCCAGGGCTGGTCACAGACGCAAAAAAAGCTTCCTTCAGTGTTGACACACCGACCATTAGTGCAAAGGGACTCGTCGTGACATTCATTTTCATCTGGCAGGAATTTAGCATACATCAAATGAGCAAAAACCACCTAAAAATTTCTTTAAAAGAAAAAACTTTTGTTTTTTTTCCCACAGAGCTTACCAATGCACTCAAGATGGCTGCTGTCATAGTAAAAGCCTTGTTGACAGTAGCACTCATAGCCTCGCAGCGTGTTTTCACAACGGCCCTTTTTGCAGATTTCCTCAGCAAACAATGTGCACTCATCAATATCTGCAACAGACAACATATTGCCGTTCAGCAAAAACAGAATATACTGTGATTGAAAACAAGAAAATCCCCCACATGCATTATTATACAAACTACAGGCAAACTAGTTGTTGACCAAAATCATCTGATTTTCAGCTTGAAAGGCCCTGACTTTTGACTAACTGGTCAAAAACCAAAAACTTTAAAAAACGCATCTTTCCCCTGTCAATCAATGCATCATACTTTGCTGTTAGCTCTTTTTAAGAGAGGAAAACCCATTGAGATTATAAAGATGAGCACTGCTACATATCTACATATTAAACATGCATGCAGTTCAGCAAGATAGAGTAAGATGTTTAGCTGCTATTAGGAATTGTAATGACATAGCAACAATGTGCCTGTTTTATCAAAATAAATGTTCACAATTTGTCGTGTCACGCAAATGCAGACCCTCAATTATTTTGTCTTCAAAATCGTAAAAGGCTTGTTGAAATTTCCAATACAGGTATTTCAACTTTATTTAATCATTAAATAGCAAATTATTTCTCAAACACAAATGTACACAAAACGGCATGGTGTGTTAATTGCTTTTGGGAATGTTACTATAATTACTTTTCCAAAAAGTAAAAGAGTCAGTAACTCAAACTCAAACTACTAGGCAAAGTAATTATGCAGTTACTTTTTATGCTGTAAACTGTTGAAGAATTTGGATAACTTTCCTATAGACAAGGACAAATCATATTAAGTAAAAAAAAAAAGAAAAACATGTAATTACACTGTCACAAGTACAGAGCAACAACATTAACTCTCTGCATTTTAGCCTTCAAATGGCTACAAAACGGTTGTAACGCAAAAAAAAACAACTTGTTTCAGGCAATCTTACAAAAATTAAATATAGTTTGTAATAGGATTGAAGAAACGTCACACTATTCCAGAACCCCTTTTCCAGGGAGGACTGTATAGTCCATTTATTTCCATTTGAACAAAACTAAACCATGGAAAGGATTTCAGCATAACATAAAACAGCAGCCTGCTGTCAGTAAGTGTTGCTGGTGAATTCATGATGAACTGCTTTAGATCAGAACTACTTCTAACCGACATATATAAAGTCCACTTTACATTACAGCTCCTTAACGAGTCGGCATCACATATGCCTCAATTTCAGTTCCTCTCTGGTCCTTTGAGTAAAAATCTCTCCCCGCTGCAGAGAGAGCATAGTTATGCTATAATCACACTGCATGTGATTTCAGCAGCAAAAAAAGCATCTGCTGCTTCATTTTTGGTGCTTGTACTAATAAAGGTCAGACATGCTTCACAGCATATTTGATGCTCCTGAAACGCTGAGATAAGTGGGTAAAAAGTAGTTTTATTATATTTTTAAGCGAGAGAGCCCACCTCCACTCACCTACTGTTAGTGGCGGCTGGTATGTAGTACAGACTGCAGGCACCAGGATAATAAAAGTGAACATATTTTGCCAGAAGGTTTTGACATTTTACGTTAATTTAGGCATCTATAACTTGTTTCAGGAGAGTGATCATAACCCTATGCATGAGAAATGCTGTGTCCAAGGGCGTAGGTTTGATTTTTACTTTGGTAGGGACACTATTGGTCTGATGTCATTGGTCCTATGCAAAAATATACATGCTCATTTTTTTATGTTTGATGTGAAAATCAGGGTGTATTTCAGCATTTCTTGCTACATTTATACAAATTTTATAAGTGTTACACACAACAGATGCTGTTTATTATGGAGCCCCTCTGATGACATGGTCAAAAAAAATGTTTAATTGTGGCCACGAAGTAGTATTTCATGCGCACGAAGTAGTATTTCGCGGCCACGCAATAAGTATAACGTGCGCATGAAATACTATTTCGCGGCCACACAATAAGTTTAACGTGCGCACGAAATACTTAATAATATTAATATCATTCCTGGACAACTGGGTAAGCAAATCAAGCGCGCCTTCTCTAAGGTCTAAGGCGCGCTCGATTTGCTTACCCAGTCGGTCTCCACCAGTCACGTGACATTTGTTGCTAAGACGCTATTTTAGGTGGAAAAGGCGTAGTGTAAACAACCGCAGCATAGCTAAAAGAAGGACTAAAGGCCTGTTTACATAGCAGCCTGTCCAAGATAAGTCATTACAGTTAACATAAACCTGAAAACAGGGGCGGATTTATTGATATTATTAATAAGTATTTCGTGCGCACGTTATACTTATTGCGTGGCCACGAAATAGTATTTCGTGCGCACGATAAACTTATTGCGTACTTCGTGGCCACAATTAAACATTTTTTTTGACCATGTCATCAGAGGGGCTCCGTAGTTTATCAACGTTTTAAGCATCACCGGCTCTGATGAATGAGCAATTAGGACTTTTTTTCCACTTTGAAAAGGTTTGCATTTGAAATTACTAGTGACTAAAACAGAAAGTAAATCTGTGCCTATTTAACCAAATATAGTCTAAATATGTCTGTTATATGTGGATTTCTGCTGTTTTTTCTTTTGAAGATATACAATTGTGCAGAGGTAAATAGAGGTAAAACCCACTCTTATCTTTGGATTATTCTCTCTGTATCATGAAACAAAGCAAAATAATAGATTTATTGTATTTACATGAGCACTGGAACTGACACTGAGCTTTTAGAATATTAATATCACTCTACAAGTCATCTAGGCTGTAGTTACTCCATTTAACCCATTTCATGTATTTTATCTTGGGCTAAAAGAATTCATCGGAATAATCGATTATTGAAATGTCAACAAATTTAGTAATAGATTAATCGTTAAGTGGAGTATAGATACTCTAAAACATGTCTTTAGCTCACAGAGTGACCCACTTACAGCAGGAATTATACCAAAATTGTAATATATAAACATTTTGCATTTTAGATAAAAATACTGCTGCAACAAAGCTGTATTGTAAGTTATAAACGTGTTATTCACATCTAATTGTTGGTAGGGACAAGTTGGTCGGTCCAAAATTTTGGTATGCTATGCAAATCTATGCCCATGGCTGTGTCTTTCTCCCTGCCATTTTTCCAACTCCAACAGGTGCTGCTTATGAAGCGCATCCGGCACCTCAGATGCTCAGAAGCTCATGAGGCGCTGCCTTGGCTGCTCAGATGCATCAACATGTGCTCCTCCTGCTGCTCGAAACACGTCAACCTTAGACTTTGAAACTAAAGCTGCTGCTTCTGCTGACCGAAGCGCGTGCGGTGTGAACATAGCATTGGGAAAAGTCTCTTTCATCGATGGAGTTTTAGTAATGAGCCAATATTTGACAAATAATTAGTTCAATTTTTTTTCAATGAAAATTTATTGCAGTTTCTATTGCTGTTATATTGTAACGCTGTTGCTAATACAGACAATCTTTTATTCATTAAGTAATTTAAACAATTAATTACTGCTCACAGAAAGAGGGTTAGTGTATAAAGAGACAACTGCTTGCTTTAACATTTACAGTTAGGGAAGCGTGAGCTGCATTTTGAGGGTGAAGTTAAATCAAACGAACCGTGGTAGGCAGGTAGGTTGTACTGGATTCTTTGTTCGCTGTAGAAACCTTGACCATGTGGACAGAGGGAGTGGAACTCAGCTACAATGGGGCAAAAAAAAGTTTTTTTATTAAAATTATGAACTAATATAAGCAAAGTCTTTCTTGAACTACTTAATTGTACCTGAGTGGGAGACAGGGCAGGGATGGATCTCACAGTGATCTCCCCATCCCACTCCGATGGAGCAGCAGCACTCCTGCTTGGTGATGTTGATTGCCAGGACGCTGTCACAGAACACTGTGTCATCGAGGTTCAGGTAACACTCTTTCTTCTCATTGGTCAGCATTCGAACCGCTGCAAGTATAGATAACGTAGAGTTTGAAACAGATGGTTATCTTTTACTCCAGTTGGCCTTTCCTTCCCTCCCCACACTCTTTGATTGCTGAGTCTCATTCAATATCCATAATAATCATGATAAAAAAACTAAAAATTTTTTTATGGGATTCAGGATTTCAGCTATGGTGGAGGTCTTTTTAGCGTCCAGGGATTCAGTGTTCAGTTCATTAGATGACTGCGGTTGCACCCATGAGAATGAGAGCTGACCTACCCTCGCAGCTATGCATGTCCTCTGAGAGGACGTAGCCGTGATTGCAGACGCAAACGTATGAGCCCAGTCTGTTCTCACATGAGCCATAGGGCTGGCAGAGGTTCCTGTCTGCTGCAGCGCATTCGTCTATGTCTGAAAGGAAAAATCACACAGGCTGCTCTAAGTATTTAAGTTATATTTGCTAAAACATTTAAATAATAACAATAGGAAAGACAAGTTTATTTATATCACACATTTCAGTAGCAAGACAATCAAAGTGCCGTATGTGGAAAAAATAAGATAAAATATGAAAAATTAAAATGATTGTAAAAAAAAAAAAATGAGAGAAAGTTGGAGTACGTAGTTCAGTCAAATGCCTCTGTAAACAGATATGTTTTTTTCTTATATGAATATCAGTGGAGCATAAGAACTAAATCTGCTTCTCCATCTCGGGTTCTGGTTCTGCAGAGTAGATTTGTTGCAGAAGACTGATGACCGCTGATGAGTCTGTAATGTATTTTGAAGCTCAGCTTTTCAGTGATTTATAAACTAGCAGAAGTATTTTCATGTCTCTTGAGAAGTGGGCTGAGGTTCTCCACTTTTTTCGTTCTAGTGAGGACACGGGCAGCAGCATATTGGATCTGCTGCAGCTGTCCGGTCATTTTATTTCAGGCAGGAATTGTGTTTTTTAAGATCCTGCTGAAACATTAGTGCTTTAATTCTGGAGATGTCCTTTAAGTGATAGAAATCTGACTTTGACTGACTTTATGTCTTTATGAGCCTCTGAAGGTTCAGGTCTGAGTCCATCACTACACCCAGATTTAGAGCCTGATGGGAGGTTTTTAGCTAGATTAGCTGAACCTGTGATGTAACTTCTCAAAGCTCCTCTTTTGGTCCAAAAATATTACTTCAGCTTTGTCTTGATTCATTGACCATATGTTTAAGAGAGTTCATAGTCACCAGTACACAAAAATAAAGTCAAAACTTTTCACTGTATATCTAGATTATTTTATCATGTATTACTTCATTGGAAAATGGAGGGAAAAAGATAAAGAGACAGAAATAGAGAATCCAGACATTTAATTATTTTCTAAAGTAGAGACTAACCTTGGCATTTCCAGCCATCGACCAGTTCATAACCCTTCTGGCACTCACAGCGGTACGACCCCATGCTGTTGATACATCGGCCCCTCAGACAACTTGACGGTCTCTCACACTCATTAATGTCTGAAAGGCAGTGGAGGAGGTTTTTTTTATATCACAGTTAGAAGCTGGTTAATATGAAACTTATTTCTGAATCCTGTTTTAGATCTTATGGAGTGAATTTTGTTCCATTACTGTTGCAAGAAAAGAAGACCTTTTATAAATGGAAAAGTGAAAACAAAAACATATTTTCTAAATACAAATAGGGACCAAAATGCAATTTTAATGTTTTAATCATAAATAATTTAATTATGAAAGTAAATTTGCTGTTTTCTCTAATTTTAATTTGATAAAGTGATCAAAAATGATTCCGTTTTTGTATTTTTGACATTTTATTTGTTTTACTGATTTTATACGGATTAGGTCTCTTTTCGAATGCTTTTTTTTTATTTCTGTTTTTGCAGATGACAGATCACATTCGCTTCACCTAAAGCCCAATCTGAAAGCTCGCTCTTGGCGAAGACGTTGACCAATAAAAATGTTGTCGCTGACAACCACTCAGACCAATAGATTTGCTCCTCAACCAAGAGAAAAGCCCACCCCCAAAGGTGAAAAGGTCATCTTTGAAACCCAATTTGACAACAACAAAATTTGCAAACCACAATAAAAAAAAGGAACTTTTTTATGTTCTATATTTGTTCACCTGATTTGTAACTGCAAAATGCATCAGACACAACTTCTCTCCCTTATTATTCTTCCTCTGTGTGTAAAAAGCACAGACTCTAATGTTGATTTTTCTGCTTGTCTTGAAAAAATATCCTACCTTGATGCAGAAAACAAATATGCCTTTAATGTTTGTTGATCAGGCAAAATGCATCATAAAACGCTTCAGGTTATGTTGTGCTTCCCTGTGTCGCTGTTAAAACTATCCTGCATTTTCTGGAGCTTTGCTTACACTGGCTTTCCTCATAGGCAGAGTGATCTTGCAGTTGGTGTCACCTAAACTGGTGCTATATAAACAAACTGAGTTGAATGATGTAGATCTACAGGTGCTGGTCATAAAATTAGAATATCATGAAAAAGTAGATTGATTTCAGTAATTCCATTTAAAAAGTGAAACTTGTATATGATATTCATACATTACATACAAACTCATATATTTCAGATGTTTATTTTGTTTAATTTTGATGATTACAAATGACAACAAATGAAAATCTCAAATTCATCATATCAGAAAATTAGAATATTACTGAAGACCAATAAAAACAAAGGATTTATAGAAATGTTGGCCAACTGAAAAGTATGAACATGAAAAGTATGAGCATGTACAGCACTCAGTATTTAGTTGGGCCTCCTTTGGCCTGTATTACTGCAGCAATGCGGCGTGGCATGGAGTCGATCAGTCTGTGGCACTGCTCAGGTGTTATGATAGCCCAGGTTGCTCTAATAGTGGCTTTTAGCTCTTCTGAATTGTTGGGTCTGGTGTATTGCATCTTCTTCTTCACAATACCCCATAGATTTTCTATGGGGTTAAGGTCAGGAGAGTTTGCTGGCCAATTAAGAACAGGGATACCATGGTCCTTCAACCAGGTACTGGTAGCTTTGGCACTGTGTGCAGGTGCCAAGTCCTGTTGGAAAATGAAATCTGCATCTCCAAAAAGTTGGTCAGCTGCAGGAAGCATGAAGTGCTCTAAAACTTCCTGGTATGTGGCTGCGTTGACCCTGGACCTCAGAAAACACAATGGACCAACACCAGCAGATGACATGGCACCCCAAACCATCACTGACTGTGGAAACTTTACACTGGACTTCAAGCAACGTGGATGAAGTGCCTCTCTTCTTTTCCTCCAGACTCTGGGACCTTGATTTCCAAAGGAAATGCAAAATTTACTTTCATCAGAGAACATGACTTTGGACCACTCACCAGCAGTCCAGTCCTGTTTCTCTTTAGCCCAGGCAAGACGCTTCTGACGCTGTCTGTGGTTCAAGAGTGGCTTGACACAAGGAATGCGACAGCAGAAACCCATGTCTTTCATACGTCTGTGTGTGGTGGTTCTTGAAGCACTCACTCCAGCTGCAGTCCACTCTTTGTGAATCTCCCCCACATTTTTGAATGGGTTTTGTTTCACAATCCTCTCCAGGGTGCGGTTATCTCTCTTACTTGTACACTTTTTTCGACCACATCTTTTCCTTCCCTTCGCCTCTCTATTAATGTGCTTGGACACTGAGCTCTGTGAACAGCCAGCCTCTTTAGCGATGACCTTTTGTGTCTTGCCCTCCTTGTGCAAGGTGTCGATGGTCGTCTTTTGGACAACTGTCAAGTCAGCAGTCTTCCCCATGATTGTGTAGCCTATAGAACTAGACTGAAAGACCATTTAAAGGCTTTTGCAGGTGGTTTGAGTTAATTAGCTGATTAGAGTGTGGCACCAGGGGCCATCAATTTTGAACCTTTTCACAATATTCTAATTTTCTGATATGATGAATTTGAGATTTTCATTTGTTGTCATTTGTAATCATCAAAATTAAACAAAATAAACATCTGAAATATATGAGTTTGTATGTAATGTATGAATATAATATACAAGTTTCACTTTTTAAATGGAATTACTGAAATCAATCTACTTTTTCATGATATTCTAATTTTATGACCAGCACCTGTATTGTGCAGATACCAGGATGGATGGATTATTTGATTGTTCTTGAAATAATCACAGACTCAGGCTGATATCTTGTCCATGCTTGGTTGGTGGGATTAAAATAAAGGTTGCTTTGTTCTGGCATTCTTTGTACCTTCACAGTGGCTGCCCTCTTGTGTACGCTGGAATCCGGAGAAGCATAGGCACTGGAAGGAGCCTTCTGTGTTGACACAGTGGCCATTAGCACACAGTGGACCGTATGCACACTCGTCAATGTCTGTAAGGAAGATTATTTATGCAATTGTTTAAACCAAAGTAAAACTCACATAACTTCTAATATAAAAATACCCTAATTGCTTGTAAATCCAAGTTTTGGGGGGGAAAATACTATAACTCACCACTGCAGCTTTTGCCGTCAACAGAGTGAATGAATCCCTCGTTGCACAGACATCGGTAAGTTCCAGGGAGGTTCTCACAGCGCCCGTTAGGACAGATACCAGACTGCTGACACTCATTGATGTCTGATTAGACATGATAGAAAGGGTTAAATGAGGGTTTTTAGTTTGTTCCTCTTTAATATCACAGCACAGATGTACTTTGACAATCGACATTGAAAAAATTTACTCTCTAACCATATATATAAAGGGGCTTTTTCAAACAAAATGAACATTTGTAACATTTTTTTTACTTTTCTAAAATGATATTTCGGCATCAAAAACAAAAACTTGCCATCTCCAGCCACATCTCCAAAATGAGACGATCTGATTTCTCTTCGGAAGATTAGGAAAACACCCAAGGATGTTATAACCCAAAAACTACTTTTAAACTAACCAAGACCTAAAGCATTCAGCATGTCCCTGCACCCCACAGTGCTTTAAGGAAACCGTTTCATGCCTCCTTCTTTCTCTTTGGGGACTTATCTCTGGCCCATTTCACATTGGAGAGGTGCCAGCATGGAAGACCACATGCTAAAGAGGAGAACTTCGGACTGACAAAAGGGTAAGTAGACCTGATTGCTCAAAACAATTGCTGCAAAACAGACTGTTTCCAACATTTCTCTCTGAGTTTCAGGACTTTGCTGTTCCTGGAAGAGGCTGGAGGTATAAAGCTCCCCTGATGTGGAGCACACGGCTAAAACAAAGAAATTCCGTGCAGTGAGCGCAGTGGTCTGGATCATTTAGGGACAGAGTTTCTAGCTAAATAATTTGTTTCTTTGATGATTTTTGATCACTTCATGTGTTTCCTGCTGGATAAAGACATGCTAAAAGGCTGTGCTGCATGGCACACAATGCAAACATGTTTGAGCTGTTGTTAGGGGAGTGGTGGCCTAGTGGTTAGGGCATGGAGCTTGGAATCCTGAGGTTCTAAGTTCAAGCCCCACTCCCACAGACTGCCACTCTGGACCTGTGAGGCATCTGTTTCTCAAACTAGAGACTCTAATATGCTTATCTTCTTCCTCAGATGTGCAATGCGGCCTCCCACTTCTTTTTCTACTCTGGTTAGAGCCTGTTTGTGCTGTCCTCTGAAGGGAGTAGTACACACCATTGTAGGAAACCTTAAATTTCTTAGAAATTTCTTACATGGAATAGCCTTCATTTCTAAGAACAAGAATAGACTGTCGAGTTTCACATGAAAGTTCTCTTTTTCTGGCCACTTTGAGCGTTTAATTGACCCCACAAATGTGAGGCTCCAGAAACTCAATCTGCTCAAAGGAAGGTCAGTTTTGTTTTCAGATGTGTGAACATGATTGCACAAGGGTTTTCTAATCATCAATTAGCCTTCTGAGCCAATGAGCAAACACACTGTACCATTAGAACACTGGAGTGATGGTTGCTGGAAATGGGCCTCTATACACCTATCTAGATATTGGACCTAAAACAAGACATTAGAATAGCTAGTATAGTCATTTACCACATTAGCAATGTATAGAGTGTATTTCCCTAAAGTTAAGACTGGTTTAAAGTTATCTTCATTGAAAAATACAGTGCTTTTCCTTCAAAAATAAGGACATTTCAATGTGACCCCAAACTTTTGAACGGTAGTGTATATAGAGAGAGCAAACCTTTGAGCACAGTTCCTACTGGCTGTGTGTTAGAACATCAAATAAAAGTGTGATTCAACCTCAAATCATGGTCAAACATATAGCTCAGCAGATATATAGCTATAGTTGACTTTGGATAAAAAAGCATTATATAGGACCACTAAATGTTATTACATTTAAATCTATTGGGCTTTTTAGACTCTTATACAGTATGGCATTACGGAACAAAATCATCCAGAGAGCAAAGCTGCACTCACCATAACAGGTGCCAGAATGGGCCTCATAGCCGGGCAAACATGGCACACACTCATAAGAGCCCAGTGTGTTTTCACACTGCTCATTAGGACAAGCATCTGGACTCAAACACTCATCAATGTCTGGAACAAGACCAGATTCACAGTTATTTCAAAACAAACAGGTAATAAAGCACATTACAGCTGGTTTAGATGTTTACACGGAATAATGACAACGTAAAAGCGTTTTTATACCTTCACAGGCAGGATAACGATGTGACTTGCTCCTAAAGCCGGTGCTACATTTGCATTTATAGGAGCCAGGCAGGTTGGCACAGTGGCCTCCGACACCACAGATGTCTGATTTATCGCATTCATTTATATCTGTAAAACACACAAACATTACAATAATATCTGACAGCTTACATAAGAAAAAAACCCACACAAACCGCTTCGAATGACTTACCTATGCATTTCAGTCTTCCCTGCTGCACCATGTGTTTATAGCCTGAGCGACACTGGCACTTATACGCTCCCTCTGTGTTAACGCAGCGACCTCTGCCGGGGCCGCACGGCTCCGTGTCACATTCGTTATCATCTGGGAAAGAAGACAATATTCAAAGCTAGGAGAGTAAAGCTACAAAGTACTGAGCATCAGTTTGTTGTTATTAAAGATTTTGTGTGGCCTACAGTACAGTATAAATATGTTACCATGAAACGTTACACATACTGGAAGGCCACCACTACAAACTTTAATGTGAGATCAGGTTTTAATGTGTGAAACTTAAAAAGTGAAGCCAAATTTTACGTAGCAGTAAAATTATATATTGATTTCCATGGTCCAACAAATAAAAATATTTAAACTGTTTTAATCCCTCCTACTCTATGCTCCCTAAAGGAGGTTCTGCAGGACAAATGCATGATTTGGTCCAGCTGACCTGGTTGTCCCCCCTGTTGGCAGACGTGCTCCTATTATATAACTCTGTCTGTAAAATCTGAAATCACAAGTGTTACTTTTAGAGCTTTTCCTTAAAGTGTAAGGAATATTTTGAAAGACACATTTCAGGTCACAAATAAGGCAGGTTTTGATCTGAACTTGAGGGGAGATTTTGAGCCCTGGCAGCAAAATCACTATTTCAAATTTGATTTATTTCTAATTTATTTTATTAAATCATTTTATATATACCATCAATTTCTTTTAAGATCCAATACTGAGTAAAATACAACATACAGCAGATACAACACTTTTTTGCAAATCCAAATATTTTTTAAATATAGCAAATAATGTAGCTTAATAATGATTGCACGCTTGCAAGTCCTAGTTGAAACAAAAAAAAAACAAACTTGAAACCCAAAAATTTTTAAAGTTTAAATTGAAAATCAAATTTTTACTTTATGAACTGAAAAACTAAAAAAACACATATACCGTAATAAGAATTGAAATCAGCTCGAGAAAACTCATTATTTAGTTAGTAATTTTATAGTTAGGCTAGTAATGTAAAGCATGCTCAGGCTAATTGGTATTCGCTTCATTAAAACTGGTAAAGTGGATTCATCATTAAATAACCTAGTTTAACACAGTTATGAACGTGTTCTGACAGCAGTAGCGATATGCTCTAAAATGACAGTTAATGTTAAATTTGGATCTGCTTATCAGATAAGCTAACATTAGCTTCACTGTTTTCATTGAGGAAAGTGAGGCTTGAATGAACAGTGGTATACAATTGAAGACAAAAATGTACATGTCTTATCAGTTTGCATCAATCGTTAAGCATTTAGCTTTTATGTCCAGCATTGTTTTTATAAAGTTGAGAGTTAATGTGGGAATTAGACTCTTGAAGAGATTAGCAATTGGCTTGATGATGCTTTCCTAATGTTAATGACTACAACCAGACCAGAAACCTCTCTGTTTTTAAGAGGTGACATTTCTTTAAAAAGTAGCCAATCACAGGCAGTTGACAGGTAGGTTGCTTCCAACCTCAAAGTGGTAAAAGTTGATATGAGGTCAGGTCCACGCACAATTATGAGAGAATTTACAGACAGATAAAAAGCAAGAGAAGAAGCATGAACTCATGCTTGTTGTGTAGTTGTTTGGAGGTTTGTAGAGGACCCAAATACAAAGACGGAAGCTGAGTTGGTTTCTTGCAGATTTAATGAGTTGTGGCAAGAGGAAGCATAAATCCAGAAATAAGTAATAAATGAACGCAGGAACCAGAACAAAGGGGAAGACATAGGTTAAGGAAAAAGAGAAAAAGAATCAAGGAAAACATAACTGCAGAGGAGGAGTTTAAATGCCTAACAGAACAATGAATGGAGTAATCAACTGATTGGGAGCAGGTGTGGACAGAAGGATCTAGAAGGGAGCTAGGGGAAATGAGGCTGGCACAAGGGCTAACAGAGAGTTACAGAGAAATACAACAGTACTTAAATATAAGTAGAAAAATAACTTAGATGACACTAAATGGAATGGAAACTACAGTAATGCCTTAGAAAAGCAAAATGTAATTGAAAACCTAAAGTGAAACTTGGAAAAGAACCAAAAATCCTAATCAGGAGATCATGACACTTGTGACATATTGGGGTCTCACTGTGTTGAATCTACATGCATAAACAGTTAAAATACATATGGAGAGAAGTTTCTGAGCGGGTGTTGAAATAAAACTTCTCTTATGAATATTTATTACGCATGTGCGCTTTTGGCAAAATTCTGACTTCGTAAAGTTTCATTTTACTGGTTAAAAAGGTTTATGCTCTTGTCTTGGTAGGTTTGCCACACAGTTTCCATTTGTTAGGTGAATAAACAGTGAACAGTTGGTTCCACTAGATCTTATTGCATGCCTCATTTTTCAGATATTTTTGTGTAAAAAAAATAGTTTGTTTTTACATCTACTTCGTGTTGTGTAAGCACTACCTACTGCTATTCTGTTGCACAACCCACCCCTAAAAACATTAAAGTTTTAGGTAGCGATATAAAAAACTATTTTAAAAAAGGTTCCAAAGCACACTAATAAATTTTCTTTAAGGAAACTTTTGTATGAATGTTTTTTAAGACGTACAGCACTTTTATTTTTGTCGTGCTCACAGCTAAGTAGAAAAATGAAGAAACCAGTGAAGAAATTGATGGTATATCAAGTCTGCATGGACTTGCAGGCGCCTGCCTGGCACCAAAACAGATTTGTCTTTCAATTGCAATCTAATTCCTAAAAGATTTAAATAAAACCACAAATAGAAAAATAATAAGCGAGTCTGTGCATGAGAAGTCATTATGTTGGATAGCACTATGATGGTAAAAGTCTGCACGTCTCTGCCTGCGCTAAAGCCCTAAAACCATGAGCAAGAACCTAATAATATTTTCCACTAAGTGATTAAAAACATGTATTATTTATAGACCAACATAGAAGTATGGATGGATTTAAAGATTAAAATGTGTTTTTATTGTTACATGCAATTTTCAAATGTACTTTTTCTGCAATCAAAACTTTCCTTTTTAATGTCAGGAACAACAAATAAAGACCTACTAAACAGGATTTGGTTTTCTTCCAGTGTCTCTTACCCTCACAGATGTTCCTCTGCTGGTTCAGACGGTAGCCTGGGTAACAGTAACAGATGTGGCCGTTTGGACTGTTCTCACACCATCCATGACCACAAATGTTTCTGCTCAGCCCACACTCATCTGTCTCCGCTTCACCAGAGAGAAGATACCAGTGTTAGATCATTACATCTATGTATGTATGTATGCAGTATTCCTCAAAAGGCAGTTTATTCTAAATACTTTGCACATTCAAAGTTTTGAAGTTGGTTCACTCCTTTTATTGTGCCTGACCACGAGAAAAAAATATGCTCTTTGTCATAGTGGAAATGGAGGACAAACAGGTGTGTGAATCCTAAAAATGCAAAAAGTCTCTGAAAGCTCTCTCTCTTTTTTAAAATGGAAAATCTGACAAAGATTGATACGGGACCTCAGACCTTCAGTTTGATTGTTTGACTAGTTTTTAGGTTAAAGCTTAGTGGTTGATTTCTTTATTTATTTTTATTCATAAATTCAAATTAAGAAAGTTGATGAAACCATTTGTGGGTCAAAGTCTTTTTACAACAAAATTCCTTAACATACAAAAAAAGAAACACAAGGGATGAATGATATTGCTAAAAATCAAAATTGGTAGACGTTTCACTCAAGGGTTTCATTGTTTTCATGATCTTGCAAACTTGCAACTGTTAAAGGACTTTGCCGTTACTGTCACATGGGAAAGTGGTTACTTCTACTCTCAGACACGGATCTGGGTGTTCTCTATTCTTACAACCGACACCTAAAGGGCTGGAGTGAGAGGGTCAGTGTCTTTCTTTTGTTAAAAGTAATGTAACCAAAACTGCAATTGCATCTTCGTTTTGAAAATTGCATTTTGTTAAATTGAGATCATATTGCAAATGAGTTCAGGAGTATTTTATGCTTTATTAATTCACAGGTCTGAGCAAAATAGGTTGAAACACACAGAGCAGTTGTCTAGAAATTGAGAATGAGGGATAAAAGCAACCAAAGACCAAAGAAATTAACCACCAGGAGCTCTGGAGAACCATGGATCATAACTTCAGCGTCACAGGTTGATCTAAACAAATCAGCCAAACCCCTTAAACACCTGACATCACTCATAATAACTGCAATGTACTAGTAATGCTGATGCATTGGGACATTTCATATATATACCCTGCACCATAATAACACTTAGACTCTGGTAAAAAAAATAATCATTTTTGAAACAGTTAAAACCTTTGTGTTTTTCAAGAGTTATCTTATAGAAGGAAGGTTCTGGGTCATTTGACACCTAATTTATGTTAAGATTTCATTACATTTCTTTCGTTTACACCCAAATAGTTAAAGACTGAGAATCCATTTATTTCATGTAGTTTAATATTTAAATGAATTGCAAAAATGAACATAAACATTCTCAAGTTCCTTAACTATTTTATTCCTTTTTTGGTCTGATAATTCCTTGATATGAATTATAATCAACAACAACCTTCTGCAGGTGAATATAGTCATACAACCACATTTCTTGAAAGTGGATATGAAGCAACCAAACAAACTGCAGAATGCAGATGGAATAAAATTACCAGAAGCCCTAAAAAATTCAGAGTATGGCATTTTACTTTGGCTCCAGTACTTAGGAAATTCTGACATCTGGGAACCAAAACCAGAAAACTGCTAACTTCAAAGCTTGGAGATCAGAAGAAAGTAGTCATTTCTACACATCCTAACATAGAAAAGAAATACTTTATAAGGAGCTGAAGTGATTTGGCTGATGAGAGTGTATACAGTTCACATATGATGCAGTAACATAATCAAATTATCTTTAGCCATGTTCACACTACTTCCAAATGTATTGACAACCCCAGAACTTTTTCATGTTATGTGACCTTAAAACCACAAACTTTTAATGTTGCCTGCAAACTGAGTTATCGATGTATTGGTCCTTCTCAAAAACACGAGAATCCATCTTGTCATATATGGACATCTTTCTGTGACAATCAATATTTGGGTTTGGGTCTGTGACTTCATTAAATTAGAGTTTTGCTGTCAACATTTTATATGTGTTTATGTATTGTTAGAGAGATGGAGGGTACGATGAAGGGATTCCAGAAGTGTGCCGGAGATATGCAGAAAACGTGTGTGTACTAAGGGAGATTTAGCAGAACACTGTTGTTTTGGTTTATGGTGAGCTCATATTAAGCATTACATCATGTGTTGCACTTCTTACCTCCATCAATAGTTTTTATTGAATATTTTTGGATCCAGTGTTTTTTCTTTATATGAAACATTGTTGAAAAGCAATGTCGGGCTTTAATTTATTTATTTTCAAATTTTTTTTATGTATTATTAATTTGGTCAGACTCAAGTTGTGTTTTCTTACATTAAACCAGGGGTACAGATTTTTTTTTCATGTTTGTATTTAGCTAATATACTATTCTAACATCTGATATAACTATTGTCAAAAGCACAATTAGGAATTTTAAGGTACCATTAGACAATAAAAAATACAAATTTAAATAACATATTGAAAACTAAATGTTATTAAAAAAATATTACTTCACCTTGTATTAATATAAGAAAATTGTTTGAGACAACATTCTAATTCAAATATGTGAAGTTTGCAGGTGTAACAGGAAGAAAAAAGAAAAAAAATACTTTTAGACATAATATCCTTAATCTTCAGTTTTACATATCTGAATTTGAGATAATGACCCAAAGGTCAGAATAAGACCAGGAACATATTGTGCCTTTCATCACTTATATGATACTTTAAATGCACTCACTGATGACCTTTGGCAATGTCTTCCTCACACAAACAACATCAGCATCTATTACCTTTGTCAAATTTAACCAAAGTACTGTTTTACTGCAGTTGATGCAGTCTTTATGAAGAATGAGTGTGAACATAGCCTTAGGGCTGGTTCATGCTTCACGCTTAATGTCACACAACATGCAAAAAAGCATCAATAACTATCCTATGCCAAACAATTAGCTTTGTGTTAGACATGAGTGTGTAAAATATGAGGTAATAACCACACAGGTCATCATCAATGGTGTTTCACCCACAAAGTCAACATGTCATTTTTTTAAGGAACAGAGCCGAAGCTGGCTGTGGTAACCCTCTCTCACTACGGGGTGGGTATGTGGATTTTCTTTTATTTATTTTTTTTTACAGATGCATGAAACATGAACCAGCTTATTTTCAGAAGAAATAAATAGAAAGCTACTACTGCATTGAGTTGAATTTGTGTCATTACTGTTGCAAGCATAGAGCGTGTTTTATAAATGAAAACGTTGGAAAGAAAATGCGGTCTAGAAATTAAAATGAAAAAAGTATTTTAAAGTAACTTTACTTTTACAGTAATTTTAGTATTTTTTTATATATATTTTTATAATATTTAAAAATAAATGATTACTTGTTATTTATTGTTCAAATTTCTCTTTTTCAGATGGACTTTTATGACTTGTATTCTTTTATTTTGCATTTTACAGATCATATTCTCTTCATGTCTGGAAGACAGGCTTTCATCTGTTGTGAGGAGGAGGCGCATTTCTATTGGTCTGCATGGAGGTTAGCAACAGCATTTTAAATTGATAATGAGTCAGCATTTGAATGGGGTTTGAAGTGAAAAGAACTGAATCTGTAAAATATAACTTTTAAAAGAATGCAATTTGTAAAACTCAATCAGAAAAAGAGAGATATAAAAAAACAAAACAAAAATATCATTGTGAAAAAAAGGAAAAATAAAGGTTAAAAAAATAAAACATGAAAACACAATGTGAAAAAAAAATACTTTTGCAAAACATGCTATATTGCTTTTAACAATAATGGATCAAAATTCACTACATACTACTGTACTATGCTGAATTTGTGTTAAACTCACGTGTAACTTTAGGCTCTGTTTCGAGGGGGACATTTCCTGGGGGGATTCGGACGAATGTCGGAGGGGTAGATTTAACAACTATGGATCCAACAGAAGAGAAACCAACAAGCAACCATGACATGTATGTACTTAGCAAGGGTCATTGCACTTTTCTGTCACTTAGTAGCAGGAAACTTCGCGCCAGTGTGCTAGCTGTGGTTAATTTATTAATCCACAAGACAGAAACATTAACCGTGGCGTGTTTACATTTTAGTAAAAAGAGGTGAGTTTACCAGGAACTCGTGGTTGGATGGAGCTGACAGTAGACTGCTGCATGGTGGTCGGCTCTGGGGGCTTCTCCTAATTCAAAGGAGTGGAAAAATTAATTCATGCAAGCATTACAAAAAAAAAAATAAAAATTGAAAAAATATAAAAACGGAAACAAAATCTTACCGTCACAGCTGGTGCTGAAAGGCAAAGTTGAAGACTGGAGTTAAAATTCTGAATTTAAAATAAACCAGCATTACAGGCTTTCACAGCAGAGGTGTGGGACGCATTAACAGCACTAGTCAGGACATTTACATGTTAATGTGATAACATTGGCATTTTAATGATGCTTTTGATTTTTTTTCCCGGGTGAAATGATGATACAATTAATTTGTTTGACTTAAACTAAAGCTAATGCAGCAAAATTCTCTAAGGAAGCAAGATGGATCTTGACCGCATACTTTTTTTAGGCATCAGCACATTTCTGGAATGAACCCGGCTGGATATTCAAACACTTCTCAGCAGAGCTTTAGAGCTCCTTTTAGTGAGATGGTTTGAGCAGACTTCAAATATCTAGAGAGTTTAGAGTCACATTCATAGCCTTTTCTATTCATTCTGAGATATCTTTTAAAATGTATTCAGTATCATTGTTCTGTTTTATCACTAATCTGTCTCCAAGTCTCAACCACCCAGATGTAGACGTAAGGTGAATTTGCAGGATGTCCTCTTTCTTTAACATGCCATCTACTTTGTGCAATTCCCCTTACCACTGACAGTCAAATACCCCCACAGCATAATGCTGCCATCACCAGGCTTGACAATAGATACGACATTCCTGGATTTGGAGGTATTACCCAGAATCCTCAAAAAGAAAGAAAAAAATCTTGTTACTAAAGTTAAAAAGCTCAAAAATGTCTCAGGAATAAATTTGAAGAAATGAGATCGAAATATCGGTCCAACTTACAAATATTGATGGAAAAAAAAAAATGGATCTGCTGCTTTCTAGCAGCATCTCAGTTGATGGATATTTAAAACTTGCTGCAATGTAAACAGATTCACTGATTTTCAAGAAGTTTTTGTAAAGGTGGCCAAACTAGAAAGTACTATTATAGCAACTGCAGTAATATTATGTACATACTGTATTTGAATGAATGGGAAGAATTAAAGCTTATTAATAAAATCGCCTCCTCAGAACATAATACTCTATTCTTCAGTTTCCTTATTCAAATTTGTACAATACTATGTTCAATACAGGTTAATATATAATCAGTTTGCTTACTTAGTGTTTATATCAATAACAAACAAAACAAAATTCTCTTGATATGTTATTTTAGTATAGAAACAATTATTGTTAAAAATAAAAAAACAAATCCTACAAACATCGGGGACCTCAGCAGAGTTTAAAAAGTTTAACAATATCCTCTTTATTGATCCTCTGTGATGTTATTTAACCTTCTGTAATCCATCCATCCATCCATCCATCCATCCATCCATCCATCCATCCATCCATCCATCCATCCATCCATCCATCCATCCATCCATCCATCCATCCATCCATCCATCCATCCATCCATCCCGATTTCTCCCTTTTCTAACTTTCTTCCCTTTCATATAGGCTTGCACGGTGATTCGTGCCGCCTGCACTGTGTGGAGATGCAGGGAAAACCGTATCTGATGGGGAAACGCAGCTCGATGTAACATCGGCACGTTTCAGTTGTTTTGATTTTATGGCGCCTCCTGCTGTCGGTTAGTCAGAACGACAATTCTCCATGTATCACGTGACTTTTGGCAGAAACTTACCGCGGAGTGTGAAGAATTGTTTCGTACGCGAGGAGAGGCTGATTCGTATGTGAGCAGAGATCGTTTTGTACTCGGGGACAATTTACAAATTATATTTTAAGTGCAATGTTTACAGAGGTTTGTAAAACTAATTTTTGTGTGTGTGCAACATTTAAGGACAGTTTGAAAAAAAGTTTTATTTGTGTGTGACATTAGATGAGAGTTTGTAACACAAGTTTTATTTGTGAACAATACGTTTTTTGAGTAATAAGATTTGTTTGGGTGAAACATGCTTTATGCATTTGCAACATGCTTTATGTGTGTGCACAACATGCATTTTTGTACACAACGTTTTGGCAGTGACTCCATACAAAAAAATCAGGCTACAATTAAGATTTATAAAAATGTTAAGTAAACCTTCCTCTCAGAATAGCAACCAAATATTCTACATAAAGTGGATGAATATCCAGAAAAAAAAAAAAATCAACTAGAAGCTTGCCTATGGCTTCAGAATAGCATGTAGTAGGTGGTACTTCCTAAATAACATCTATTATCCAACATCCAATCATTATATCTAATAACCTATGTAGTAAAACCAGTTCACCCCAGAAAAAACATCTCCAATAAAGTAAGGAGAAGACATGCATGCAAACAACATTTAAGACTCTGTTCAGCACTCACGTTCAGGGGGAAAGATGAGGGATGGGAACGCCAACGTGTCTGTTCTGGTATACCAAATGTATCCTTTTCCAGCAGGGCAAATCTTATCGAAGGCAGCTAAATACAGAATGAGAAAAGACTGCATTTAAATGTACAGCAGTCAATCGAATCCTTTTTCCATCAAAATGTCTACAAAATTTTGAGAAATCAAAGCCAGATTCTTAAATATTATCTAAACATAGACATTGTGGCCGTGAGAGGGAGTTTATTTATCTAAAGATATCCATGATTGCATTAAAAGTTACTCAGACGGAAACTTTGCCTTATCTTCACCGCTTTTGAAGAACTACAGTAATCATCTAAAAAATACATGCAATAGCTGCTCTTTTATTTCCTGGTTACATAAAAACCTAAGGTTACTCACAGTATGCTATAGTATGACCTGTGCTAATCACATAGCAATAAAGTTAATGTAAAAATACAATAAATTATTCACAATATCAGTGCTGACTGGGGCCAACTCACCTGTGCCCTGCTGAGGGCATCTGTCACAGTTGGGGCCCCATGCCAGGCCCACTGTGCAGCAGCACAAATCCTTGGCAATTTGGTTCGGCAGCGGATGCTCACAGCCCCTGGCATCGCTCACCATCCGGAAGCATTGCCCCTGCTCCGTTGATGACTCTTTACCTGGAAGGAGAAAGGAAGAATTTTGTGGGTGTGAGAGAAGAGGGATAAATAATAGCAGTACATGTCTGAGAGTCAAACTAATGGATGGACTAAATTTCTGGGACAATGTTTAAAGAGAGAAGAAACAAAAGTGAAGATTTTTGATGGACAGATGGTGCAATGATGCCTTTAAGGCAAAGAACACCATACCAACAGTCAAGCATCTGATACTGGAGGCCTGGACCATATTACAGGCGTCAAGAAATCAGAATATTATTAAGCAAGTCCAGGGCAAATTTTTTTTTCCTTTTGCTTGCTTTTATATTTTTCCACCTGCTACTCTAAATTTGAGTTTTCTAATCTATTTTTCTTTCAGTTGTAGACTACATTGTTTTGTTTGCCTCCCAGTCAATATTCTGTGTTTGCTACGTAGTCTAAATTTTCTGTTTGCTAGTATATTTTTTACCCTTTTCTCCTTTACATTGCTGCATTTGTTATAATACTTTTTTTCTTGCCACTTTTTTTTGTTTTTCTATTTATTTCTGTACATGCAATTAGTAAGGCAGGAGCCTCTGTAGTTTTAGGAGTAAAAGATAAAAGAAAAGGCTGTGGACTTGCCAACACATCGATTCCTGTCCAAAACAAAACCAGATTTACAGAAACACTGGAAGCTGCCCAGAGTGTTACGACAATCTCCGTTCTGACAGACTGCCCCATGCATGGTGCACTCATTGATGTCTTCATGGCCAGGTCAAGGGAAAGAAAAATAAAAAAGTTACACCAATTTTTGCAGAAGTTCTTATCAGGAAAATGATACAAGTTATCATGTTTCCAGGACTTACCTTGACAGTGAGTGCTGTTAAATCGTTTATAGCCTTGTGGACAAGTAGAGCCGTAATCTTTCACAATGTTGCTTTTGACAGGTGCATCTAAGGAAGACAGAGAAGAAAGGATGGTGGACGAGAAAAAAAAAAGTTTAAAAATGTAGAAATTTTAATAATCTTAATCATGGTGTACTTAAAAGTGCATGTCAATGAAATAGAATATCTGCAAAAAGTAGATTTATATAAATAAACCAAATAAAAAGGTGAAACTTGTACACAGTTGGATCAGTTTAAATCCTTTATTTCTAGTCATTTTATGGCTCTATATTAAGACTCATAAAACATTTGAAAACTGTCAGAGTCTTGGTTTGTTAGTTCCTGTTTTTCTTAGTTTTCCATTTGTTGTCCTCTGCTGCCCTCTTGTGTCCTCTTTCCCTTGCTCTGTTTTCTGTTTTGCCCTCACCTGTTTTCAATTCCCTCGTTAGCTCTCTCTTTGTCTCTGTCCCCTTTAAAAGCCCTCCCTGTTCAGTTCCTGTTTGCTGGATCCTTGTCTAACATCTGCCTGCCTTGTCTCGTCTCTCCCTGCTCCTAGAGTTTTGGTTTACCCCTGATGTCTCCTTGGTTCTGGTGCGTTTGTTGTTTTCTGTTGGGCTTTGATTCCTGCCCCTGGACCTGTGAACCTTAATAAACCCACTTTAATTCACCTCTGCCATCTGGTCTCTGCATTTGGGTCCTCCAAACAAACACCGTTTCATGACAAAAACAAGCTAGTTATTCATATAAAATACTTACTTCACAAAAACAACTTTTTCAGATTTCACTGGAGCATAAAAATACAACTCCATCAGGAAGTAAGTCTTAATTGAATGTAACAAAACACTTTTGCTTTAGATTTCATCAGAGGCCCAGTGAGGGCGTTCTAGTCTTGTCATACTGCAATTAAATGACAAAATGAATCCCCCCTGTACTAATAACAAGTCTGTCCCTGCTTCTTCAAGTCTGACACTGAGGTCTGGACATCATCTGAAACCTTGATTTTGTTCTACACCTCTTTTTGCATGTCATAGATCTACAAGAGAAATGTTTCTTTCCAACAGAGGATACTACTGCAGGTCTGCCTTTTATATATACCATTTGAAGTGCTTCTTCTCTACTTCATATGTGCATGACAAAGGGCATTGGGGTTGTTTTAGACCTGCCTGAATAAACAAATAAGCAGCTTCCACCAAGCCCGGTGCAAATTGAGCCTTTGTGCTAGTAGCTTTTCAGATGGAAGTGTGCAAGAAAAGCTGCATGCCAATCTCTTTGTGCACAAGTACAGCGTTACTCATTTAGAGGAGGGTCACAATTTAGAATCTAAAAAATAGAAACTAAACCTCTAGACTATGATTTTTTTACTACCAATGTTTTTTTTTTTTTTTTGCAGTGGCTTGAAATACATCCCAGCAGGTCTTAACTTGTAGAAAGCATTTATTCATTCTCATTTTATATGCATGGTGATAAAAACTAAAGATCTATAAAGGGCAGGTTACGAGTATATTTCAACTCCTTTGCTCTAAAACACCTGCACAATTAAATACCCTCAGCAGTCACCTGAGCAGTAAACAAACTCTGCCTTTGTGTATTCCACATTTAATATGATTAGGGCTTTAGTGTAAAGCGCTAAGGGCTTTCTTTAAGAACAACAGTTAATGACAAGGAACACAACTTGCCGGTTAGATGTGAAGTTATTTGACCTTTTTGTGGTCCTGTTCAACTGGAGACACTAGGAGAAGTTTAACTTTAAGGAGGAAAATAGCATAAAGAATAACTAATGCCAAACTGATCTAAACCTTATACCTAGATATTTTTTTAGAGCTGTCTACATGTCCGGGCATTATTTTTACTGCACATTTGATGCAGTCCATTTCTTGTATCTAAAACCATCTGTTTATGAACCTCCTCAGGTCTAATGAGTGTACGGCATGTGATTTTGAATAAATATTGGTCTTGATGTTGCCGCAGTTGTTGTGAAGTCCACTCGAAAAACAGTGGCTTCATAGATTTGTCTGAAAAGTCCGTCAGACAGCTGCAGCTGATCCAAAACTCAATTGCCTGTGTTCTCACTAGAACTAAGAAAATAGGGCACATCAGTCTGGTTCTGAAGTCCTTCCACTGGCTCCCTGTAGCTCAGATAATAGACTTTAAAATCCTTCTGCTAGTTTATGAATCACTGAATGGATGAGCACATCAATACATAACAGTTGTCAATCTGTTGTCAGTGGATCAACCTCCCAGACCAGTCAGGTCTTCTAGTTCCAGCCAACTCTGTTCACCCAGAACTAGAACCAAACTTGGAGAAGCAGCATTTAGTTCCTATACTCCACTGATCTGGAACAAACTCCCAGAAAACTGGCGACCAGCTATTGTCATGTTTTTGTTTTTATTTTATTTTACTCTGCTTTTATGTTTCTTCTATTTTAATGTCTATTTCATGATAAGTACGTTGAATTGTCTTAATTGTATTGAATTGGGCTATTCAAATAAACTTGCCTTGCCAGACATTTATTCCTCTTCAACCATTCCTGCATCCTTTCAATGTTGAGCTTTGGATCTTTATCTTACACAAGGACAAATGGTCTTTGCCTCAAGCCACATTTTCTTAAACTAATGAAGACATTTTGCTCTGGAATTGCTTGATAATCTTCTGATTTCCTGTTCGCCAGTAATGTGGTCCAGGCCTCCAGTATCAGATGCAGCAATGCAGCCCCAAAGCATTATGGATCCTCCAAAAAGCTTGACTATTGGTATGGTGTTTTTTGCCTTAAAGGCATCATTGCACCATCTGTCGATCAAAAATCTTCACTTTTGTTTTATTCTCTCTTTAAGCATTGTCCCAGAAATGTAGTCCACGTTCTCTTGCGAAGATCAATCGTTTTTTCAGCAATTGGGTCTTCCTTTGCCTCCACACATGACGCCCCACTTTGTTTGTTGATATTTGTTGAAACAGTTACACCAGACATCTCCCAGTTGGTCTTAAGGTCTTTCTATGCTTGACGTGGTGTTTTTTTTTTTTTAACAATCCTCCAAAAGCTCCTGTAATTAGTTTTTCTCTTCATGTTACATTCAGGAAACGTCTTGACAGTTCCATTCCTTGACAACTTCTTAAAAAGATTACCACCACTGAAACATACTAAGATCTTAAGAGATGGCTATCCTTTGGAGGAATTGCTATTGCAAATGATACAATTTCTGGTGTCCTCAGACAGCTCCTTTGAGGGAATAACAGGTTGCTTTCTAAAAACACCAAAACAATCATTAATTGGATATTTAATGTCACATTGATGGAGGCAATTCAGGGGATCCTTATTAGTTATTTGCAGTGGGTGAGCCAAATTGGGTTTCCATACTGATATGCAGCAAACGTTCACAACACCATTGACACAGTCAACATTCTGCTTTTCCTCTGTTTTTCACACGATGCTTTTTTTTATGTTCTCTATAATTTGCTGTTTTGTATCAAACACAAGCTATCTGTAGTTCAATGTTGTTTCGCTTGATGGATTTTCTACAGTAGATATTCCATAATATGTGCTTAAACTTCATGGGTGCTCATAATAGTGAGCAGGACTATAACCTATCTTCTAAAACCCCAACACCAATTTACCACTCAGAAGTAGATTCCTGAGTGGAATCGCAGCGACTAAAAAAGCTAGCCCTTAAGGCTGCTGGCCTCCCCCACAAGACGTTCCTCTATTACCTCTGTCTACCATTAAGGCAGTAAGGAGAAATGATCCTTCTCATAGAACGCACCATCGCAAAACTATTATCCCTGATTGCTCTTCAAGTTTCTGTTACCTTCAATCTGCCTCCATAAAGACCATAAAAAAAAAAAAAAAACTGATGTAGGTGAAGTAGGCTCTGGAATATTTTAAAATACAGCCAAAATCCTGTTTATATAAGAGCATCTTCATCTTAGAATGGCATAATCAAGGTCTAGATATAAAGCTAACTGTTGTAGGACTTGAAAAAATTAAGAAAATGAGAAAAAAAGTAACAGGGGGAATGAATGTCAGGCTCAGGGAAAAGTGCTGCAATAGCCTTCAAACGAAGGAGCACAAGAAACTCGGCATGAACTTCTCATAGAAACCTAAAATTAAATATGTAGCTCTGAAAAACGAAATAGCTCATAACTTTTAGATTGTACATTCTGGACTCTTTGGTTTTTATGTTCCATGCTTTTTCTGTTACAACATTCATCCTCTGACCTCATGTTACTCATTTTCCAAAACTACGTCTTTTATATTGTGGCCCAAATGATTATACAAACTAACCTTTTCCTCAAGTTTTTTTTTTTCCTTGTTCCTTTCGAATAGCATTCCTGTTCAAGTCCTTGATGAAGGTCAAGTTGCAGTAAAGCAGTTGAAAAAAATTTTTTTTCACAAGGTTTGAAAATTCCTTTTTCTTTTTACTGTTAATGTTAAAAGTTATCTTTTTTCCATGAGAGGAGTGAAACATGGCAGGGAGCTTTATTACAGAGCTGTGGGAACACAGCACATTGTGGAAAAAGAAAACTCTAAAAAAAGAAGGCAAGTTCATGGCTATTTTTATAGAAAAATAGCGAGGAGGAGCTCGACAATGTGCACACGAGTAACAGAAATGACAGCAGTCTGAGCAGGAGCCGAGTCATCCACAGTCCATCCAGACTCATGGTGTCAGGTTTTCGTCAAAGGCCGCATTGTCTGAGCCAGAACTGAGAGACGGAATAATAGCGGAGTGGAAAACGTGAGCGGCCAAGATTTTCTTGAAATCTAATCCTCAGCGGAGTGATGACAGTGCTACGGTGGGAAGGCACAGAGGCCTTTTTCCCCCCACATTTCTTTGTTTGTGTCTCACTGTCTGAGTGCGATTCCCATAACTCCTGCTTTCTCATTCCTAACATTTCCCATACCTTATACTATGTTTATAGCTCATAATATATTATATTTATAGTGGGAACCGCATATTTACATACTCTCTATAAAAAGACATACGGTACTGTCTTTTTCTTGCTGTCTAACAGAACCTTATTTTTTTTTGGTTCAGGTAGGATTATGAAACAATGCCTTTATCGTTGAATCACTAAATTATGAGAGAAGATTTACACTTTATTCAGATTCAACATCTTAAATAGAGCAAAATTGCAATGGATCTGTGGAAGCTTGGGGGATGAGGTCATGTCTTTAGAAGTTGCCTAAACAGTGGAGTCAAATGGAGGTGTACACCTATGGCTGATCCTGACGATTGGCTCTCTGGACTAGTTTCTGCCCCCCTTAATAAAAAAAATAATAATAATAGTGGTATAATTTTTTAAGGTATTGTTTTTATTTTTATTTTTTTTTCTGTATAACATACATTTAAAAGACCAATTATCTGTCAAAATGGGTCATTTATTTTATTAATTTCTACCAGGCAACACTGAAATTTCACATAGAAGCCATTCTCACACTCTGGATATTCTAGCAGGTTTTAATTAAAGTCAAACACTAACACACACAGACCGCCACAACTCTGGAATATCCTCGGGTCCGATTTCCAGATGCCTGATACTTCCATGTTTATCTGTTCAACCTATAATATGTAATAATAAACAACATTGGAATGTCCAGCTGACATACTCTTTAAAGGGTAGCATCGTTCTGCATCTCAAAGATAAAACTGATTGACAGTTATTTTATATTAAAAAAAATTTTCTTCCACAGTGTTACCGAAATAAGCCTGCTGCTATATTTGAATAAAAATGTTTACCTTTGGACTTGAGCTTAAATCCAGTAACAAGGTGGAAAAAAGGCATTTAAAAAGCTGCATTAATTGAAGAGACTTATTATTTTAGGCTTAACTTAGTAAAAGGAACCCCACTGTAGGGGCAAAAGACATACTGTATCAGAAGGGCACACCGACAATTGGTAAAGTTTTAAATATTTTTCATTAGAATTATTTTTATTTCAAAATAATTTTAAGCAATTCAACGTTTAATTTATATATATATATATATTTGTTTAGAGAAATGACCCCTCACAGTTGTTTGTTGGGAAATTTTAAACACTGTTCTTTGTTTACTTGATCATCTATATTTTTTGCTGATATAATGTGTCACTAAAGGTCAGTGAATTTAATAAAACTTTATACTATACAGTTATTATACGCCTGTACTTACTTGGTAATTTTGGGCACTGGTAGCACTTGTTCTGTCCCCACGAGTTTCCAACGCTGCCGCAGCAATCCTCCTGATTGGTCAGGACAGGAAGTGGCGTGCTGTTGCACTGAAATGAATAAGAATTGTAAAGTAAGACTCTCAAGTTATATTTCACACTAATCACCACCGCATACATGTTTATACGCACAGCCTTTTTGGGTGTGGTCTCCTGAAAGCAGCGCCCCTTTGGTTTGTGTCTCACTAGGAAGGGCCGTGTTAATGTTTTGTGAGGAGGTTTGGAGTCTGATTGGTCAGGGACAGCCTCAATCACCACCGAGGTGTCTGGTGGATGGTGAACACGAACGTTAATCTGTACTGAAAAAAGAGAAAGGGCACAAACCTGGTTAAAATAAGGCTTGCAAAGCTTTGGAAAAGCATTTCTTACACTTTTTTCCCATTTTGTCCAAACACAATGTTCTATAACTGTTACAGAAAGTAGAACTTGTGTGTGAATGGGATAAAACGGGATCAGAACCTAGAAAGTGTCAAATCTATATTCTGTTCCCTTAACTTTGATGCCAAAAATCATTTGATACCAACAACCCTCAGAGGTGCCCAGGGTATTTATGTTTTTAACTTCAGAGGTTTGTTGGAGAACGTGAAGACCAGGGAAGACACCTGTGGGAAAGCTTTTCAGCAGAAATTAGCAACCAGATAGAATTGAAGAAAATAAGACATTTATGTCTAGAAATGGCCTAATCAAGGTCTAGAGATAAGTCCTATTGAAAATCTTTGGCATGATTTGCTTGTTTAATTTTTCAGTTAGCCTGGTCATGGCAACCACAAATCAGGTATGAATTGGAGGCAACAAAACTTTTTCCTGAAAAAAGTTAACTAACACGGGGGTCCATACTCCCAAACACATTCCACTTCAGTTGCAAATCAAAAATCCACATGTCAATCTCCAGTTATGTTGGGAGTCTTTTGTTGTACCTGAGTTATGTGTTTGGTCATTCGAATCATGATGGTATTTTCTTAACAAAAATTGCTTCATTCATCCCTCTTTCAAACCATCTATCCTCTCTGTCCAAGATCTGAACTTTTTGGTTCTCAAAAGTCATTATTTTCTTCTTGAGGTGTAAGTGTACAGCTAAATCTTGAGCCAGAGTTACTCTCTCTTGTGCTGCACCATCTGTCTGTGTAGTTCGTCCAAGATGGGAGTCCGAGCAGGCTTCGCTGCACTGCACCATATAAGCGGTTCATAAGTGGGTTTGTTTATGGGAGCCATCGCTGTACAGACAGGGATGGTTCCCCTTTCAGATTCCAAGCATTTACAGTTCGGTCCCGGAACTTATACCAAAGTAGTTAAACCAGCACATTCATCATGATTGAGAAGTCCAAACACATGACCAATACACAAGAAAATACTTCATCAAAGCCAGGAGAACAGGGGGTGGCTATTTGATTCCCATCTGACTTGGAATGTGCCTAAGAAGATGGACCTCCATGCTGCTCAAATACGTGAGCGCACCAGCGAAATAGAGGGGAGCCTACAGAATTGACAAAGATTCCCAAATAGTTATCAAAGCGTCCTCAGAAAAACAGCAAATTTCCAGTTGCCTGTATTGTGTTGGGGAAGACTTAAAAACCAAAGCTGGCGAAGACAGACCTCAAAAGTAAGATTTATATTAATTTAAGAATATGTAAAATAATCAACAATAAACTCTGAGTCAAATATGATGAAAGTTTGTTTGTCAGATCACAAAATGTCCACAAAGTTAAAGGACAACAACAGCTTTCACTCAATCATGTTGGAGCGAGAAATAGTTACCTTCTGATGAGTGGTGCCCCACTTGTGACAAGGGCAAATTAAAAACCGAGTGTGTCTGCGTCATCTGGGTGCGCCCCATGGCCGTGTGCTCCACCAGCCTTTGGTCATCTTGCTTTAGAGATTTAGGGTACACGGGCTGCCTGTTGCCGTGAGCTGCCTGAGCTTGCTGTAAAGGAAACTGGCAGAGCCTACCGGTGAAACCAGGAGGGCAGAGACAGTGATTCCTGGAACTGCATGTTCCTCCATTCATGCATGTCAGCGGACACACGACTGCAAAGAGAAAGAGAAGAAGACATTAAGATGGGCAGAAACTACTAAAAGGCACATATAGACTAGACAAAGACGAAAGAAAGGAAATGCAGCTTCATACAATAAACTTAATGAATGTGAGGTATGTTGTGCCATATGTACGTGTACCAAGAAGATGGATAATAAAGTGAGTCAGTAGGTCAATATTCTCTTTGAACTGCAAGTCCATAAAGATCAAATCGGCTTGACGAAGCAAGAGGTCCCTGAAAAACCAGCCAACTCAGCCAGAGAGCAGCTAAAGTCATTGATCTGTGTAACAGCTATTCTATTCTAACATGTGGGAGAGATCTTGGAGTCTGTGGGAAAGCTTCTGGCGCAGGATGGGTTCAAGGCATATATACTATCTGCTGCTGTTTTACTGGGTTTCCCCCATTGTGTTTATTTATATATGGGGCTTTTGAAACTCTCTGTGAAAGTTTAGGAGATAAAGAGGAAGCAGTGATGTTGAGAAAAATGCTAATTTCAAAGTTTTTAGATGCAGACAAATTTAATAGATATAAAAACAAGTGCTTTTGGGAATCGGACACTCAACATTTTATCTTTCATTACTTTTTTTTTTATATATATATGTAAATGTATTTTTACCTATGTGTGTTTTTCTATTATGTCCAGCACTTTCAAACCTTAATCACTGCGACAGAGACAGTTTACAAAGAAACGCGCACATATTGCTGCAAGAGAGGCTCGTTTCCAGCTTCTGTGCAGTGCAGCAGACCATTGTTTTTGTTTCGGTGAATGGAAATGACCACTAGCTTTCAGTAGACTATACTTACTTTATGTAAACCGAGGATAACAAACGGCAAAGATCTGCCTTTGATTAAAAGTTGGTGCAATTTCTCCCTTTTTCTGTTTTCAAAACCTTAAATGATCCAGCTTTTTTATTTAATTTCAAATTAAGTTAAACAAAGCAAATGGAAATAAACTTTTAAAATCCATATTCTTTTATATTGCTATTTTATTAATATATTTTTTCTTCACTCAAAGAAAAACCCCTCAAACTGCATTTTTGCTCAGTCTACAATGGTCAATGGAAGATTAACTTTTTCCATTACAACCCCCTAAATCAAACTTTTTTTGTTCACATATCTATCAAACAAACAATATTAAAAGAATAGGAAATACAAAAGTAAAAACGAAGACCTCCTTCTACTTGAGAGCCAAGTTTGCACATATGCAAGTAATTAGGCGAGTCCTGCCGAGGAGTCTGGGCTGTGGCGTAATTAGGGGACTGGAGGACTTTTAACATAAAGGGGACATCCTCACACAGGGAAATTCTGGCAGAAAAAAATAATCAAAAACACTCAGCTGTCAGAGTGGAACAGTCTAACTTAGAGAGTAAGATGGATAATTCAGAAGCAGCCTTTCCTTGCCAGCAGCTCAGTGTCACAGGGGCTTTTAACCACAGCGACTGAATGAGCCCAGGCAACAAGATGGAGAATGAAGCTGAAAGGCTGAGCCACAGTAAAAAAAAGGAAAAAGAAAGATAGCATGAGCACAACAAAAGAAAACTGCCGGGCTCAACTCTACCAGACTTTATCCCATTTCCATTGATCAGAGTCTGTCTAGATCAGACCCGAATTCAGAGCAGGAGGAAATTAGGAAAGATGCGGGGGCTGAAAAGTGAGATCCCAGACGCTCAGAGAGAAAAAAATAAGAGCGAAAAAAAAAAGCACCTCTTTCCAACTGTCATTACACAATCTAAACCAACAGAGACAGAGGAGATGACAAACTGCATACAGGCTCTGGTCTGAGGTTCAGTTTGGCTGGGAAAGTGTCTGTGTAAGACCGGGTGCTCTCATGCACACAGAGCTACACTAATGAATACAAGGAAAAGCAGGGGAATCACGTTTCATACTGCAGGTTACAAATCAGGGTAGAGAACAGGGCTGGAGCTCCTGTCAATGAGCTCTTAAAAGCCGTGAAGTAAGACAAGTGAAAATAACTCACATAACTGGTATCAGAAATAAAACACTTGAACACAATCACCTACAACTATGCTGTAAGATTAGCAAAAGTAACTATGCGCCAAGCTGTCAGTCAGCCATGTTTAACAGTTTGAAGACAGATTTGTCTGCTCAGAGGTCTAACCGGTACCAACAAGCAGCTATGACACAGCTTCCAGAGGATTACACTTCGTTAGTCATTTCTTTTCTTTAATCTGTACTGAATCAAGCATTTTCAAGAGGTTACAAGAGTGAAAAGATTTTGTGATAAATAAAAACCAGGCCGCGCAAAGCGGGACATATAGAGACTGAACAAGTGAGGAGGACCACTCCTGTCCTAGGCTGCGCTCTGGACTCAGTGGAGGAAGTGGCTGAGAGGAGAGTGTTGTCCAATCTCACATCCATCATGGACAACACCTTTCACCCCCTGCACCAGTCTGTAGAGGAGCTGAGCAGCTCCTTTAGTAACTGAGTTATACACCCTGTGTGTAAAAAGAAGCGCTACCCGAGGTCATTCATCTGTGCTGCCATCAGACTTTACAAAGCCACTGCATTATAACCTGATGTAATAACAATGCAAAACTTTTCATCATTCTGCTTTGGACCAGCACCAAATACCCTATATAATCATTCTATGACCCCTTTAACCTTTTCATAACATGAGGACCCAAATTTGGGTCCTCAGCACTCGCCCCAAGATGGTTTTTAGATCTGTAACATATTCTCTGGGGTCTTGCCTTTATTTTTGATACCAAAACAATTAAAATAAACTCTGTAGTTCTTGAGATATATTCAATTCATTTTGGGCATGTTATTTTCAAGCATATTTCTCGAAAATAGGCCTAGTGTCCAAGAGGTTAAGAGCACTCCCTTTGTCAACATTATTTTCTCTATGTTTAATTTTGATTAAAAACCCTCAGCCTGCTACATTAAAACCGTGTTTGGGACATGATACTTTCTCATCTCCTATAATTTTGATACCTAATAATATAATTTCGATGTACATGTGACAGCAGATAAAGAATTTCATGGATTTGAAGGTGTGATCAGCGATCGGCAGATACGGATTTTTGTGATCGGTGATCACCTCCCAAAATCCTGACCAGGTCATGACTACTATTAATTTACTGGCATCAATGAATAAACAGAACAATGTGCAGGATGTGAAACTTAATAGTTATTATGCACTTAACAGCTAGGCATCAGTCTGCAACTCTTTGTGATTCATTTAATGCATTAGATAGAAAGAAATTGCACACGCTGAGACTTTAAGTACATCGACTAATAAAAAAAAAAAAGCATATCAAATTCTTTCATAAGGCTTTTATTCATGTTAAACATATCCTCTTACATCATTTTAAGGGTATATTGTTCAAAAAAGCAAAGATAATGTTTTACATCTGGTTACTCGTCAATCTTTATTTTTTCCACTAATCTGAGATCAGGTTTTTATGGAGTACTTTCAGGATAGTCCTAAGCCATTCCAGGCCAAATGGAATCTTAAGTCTACAAAGGGAGATATTCATGAAGGGTTCAGATTACATACTTGAAGTTATTCCAAGAAGTAGCGTCTCTTCTCTGACCTCCCTCTGCGTAAAGGCGCTCCTGAGCTAATTTCAATCACAGGTACCTGGGTTCTCACTTTATTATCATTATTTGTATCTATTTACCACAACAGACATGGACAGACATAGACCTTTACATTAAGAGCCTTCACACTTGAACTCAGCTCTTTGTTCATAAAAACAGACTAGAACAATCAGCAACAAGGTTTAAATCTGTCTGCTCCTCCCCGGCATCATCCGACCATTGCTCTCAAACAAGGCTCCAAAATACTTGGAGCTCCTCTGCTTGAGAGCAAGACTTGCCCCCAACATGGAGGGAGTAATCTACCTTTTTGCTTTCAGTTAAGGAACCATAGCCTCAGACTAAGGGCTGGAAAACACTTCTTGCATCCCATTCTACAGTATTACTAATAGAGGGTCCCAATCTACATTACAAGAGGGTCACACAAAACAACACTGCAAATTTATATGAGTGTCTGACTCAAAACTCCCTCCAGCATAAAAACAATTAAGATATTGAACGTTAATATGTGGTTGCTTCTTTAACATCTTCAATGCCATGTAGCCTGGTGTTTCTTTTTATCCATTTTCTGCACCCCTCAGCTCTAACCATGATTAAACTACACAGTTTTTTTAAATGTTTGTTTGAGTACATATGTCTGAGTCTCCCTTGCTTGCTATAAATATGTTCTATATGTTTGCAAATGAGCTTAACCTTTACCTTGAGATTCAAAAGTTTTCCTTTCCCCAAAACGGATTGGTTTTACTTTATTCCATTGAATCAGACATTAAATAATGCCTGCTATTTTCTGGTTCCAAAAATATTCAGTCTTTGACTGCCCCCCTATTTTTTTTTCAACATGACACATAACTTTCAATCATTTAATTAATAACTTTAAATGTATTGTTGATTATTCAATGGGATATTTAATTATTAAGTGTAATTAAAAATTTTGAATATTATATAAATATAAATAAATAAATCATTAAATAAATGTTATATCTCCTATTTCATAGTAAATTTGTTTATATAATTGTTATTCCCATTAATTTATTTCATTATATATTTTGGACCTCCATATACTTCAGGAACCAAATCTCAATGATTGTGGAAACCATCTCAATGCCCTATTTGGTGTTGTAAGACACCCCGGGGGGCTTCTGACCCCTCTTTGAGAACCCGTACTTTAGAGAACGGTTGTTTCTTCGAGACAGCAACAGAAACACATCATCTGCATAAAGTAAGGACCAAATCCTAAAGATCCCAACTCAGACAAAATCCAATTCCAGAAGGATTTGGATTTTCCCCGAGACTCACCTGGACCCTCTCTTAAACCTGGGACCTCTACCCCAGCCTGCCACTTCACAGGTGTATTTGCCTCCAGAACTGCCTTAATTCTTTGTGGGTTATACTCAATTAGATTTTGGAAATTTTCCTTGAAGATGTTGGTTT